TAACTCTACACCGAGCTTTACTAAAAGAAAAGGCACCAGTTCTTACTTTACCAAATAAACTTAGCTAAAACAAATAAAACCTTTAAACTCTAAACCGAGTTGTATTAAACAAATAAAACCAACAAAAGAACCGCCACAATCTAATTTTAATATAAATCGAAAAAAAAAACAAAAAAAACGCCAGGGGCTATTATGCACACCTGAACTCAATAATCGCCAGACTCTCAACCGAGTCTTAATAAAAACATCACTCACTAGCTTCTTTACCGAAGCTTAGCTAAAACAACAAAAGAAACCGTTAAACTCTAAACCGAGTCTTACTAAAACAAAGGAACTGCAAGGTTTTTTTTACCAAAACGAGGCCACAACGCTTCTTTACCGAAGCCTTAGTGAAAACAAAAACACAGTGTTAAGCATGTAGAACAACATTCTCAAGCAGACACTTTCACACATAAACACACACTCAGGACTCAGGCTGTAGATAGACAAGTGACAGGTTCTATAGAAAAGGGGACATTCAGGCATATATATATTACCTATCTGAAGACGTTAAAAACAGGAAGCCGAGTGAAGGAACGGAGTGCAGACCAATTCCAAAGACGGGAAAATATAGGTAAGTTACTCATTTACCATATGCAGAGGTGATCAGGCTCTTTTTTTCCAATCTCTGGGGGTCTCCTCTTCGGTCCTGGGATTTTACGGCTTCCTTAGTAACATAACCCTTTTGTCCCTGTTCGAAATTGCGTCAACTGATTTCGATCAAAGAAAACTTTGATAATTTGTCTATCTACACCTTCCAAATTGATTGATTAATGCGTGCACGCTTTCCCTAGAAGTAATTCACACCGGAGACAAAGTTTCTGATCAGTGAAAAACCAAGGAATGCTTTATTCCCCGGAGTGGGGGCTCCTTCTTAAAGCAAAAATACGTCACAGTTTAAACATACAGTATGCATTCAACAATTGGTTAACAGTCTAAGGGGTCTTGTCTAAACCCCCCCTACAGGATGTAGAGTCGTCATTACAGACTTCTCCCGCCTATATTCCAGCTCCTGGATACACAATGACAGGGGGAGTGAGTAGTTTCTTTCAGTTACTTTAACAGTGATTCTCCATTTTGTTACACGTGGCATATAGCTGTTAACTGGCACAAAGGAAGTGGGGGAGGAGTTAGTAAAGGAAGCTGTTAACACAGGAATTTTGGTTACATGAGGCCTGCTCTGATGGGAAGGGGGATGCTAGCAGGATGAGGAATTTACACAGGAAATGGCAACTGAACACATTGTGAGGGGGGGAAGGGAATATTTACTCTAGCAGCCAGTTTTAACATAGTGAATACAGAATAAATAGACATTAGTAAATAGCCATTTTATTTTAATTCATCTGTCCATAACAATAAGTCAAACCATACCTCTTTTAAATTGGTGTAATTGGCAAAAGGATTAGTAGGCTCTGAGACATTTGAAGCTGACCACCAAGTAGTATCTTTTGTATTATCATTATAAGCCTTTTGTCCCAAAATGTCTCATTGACAGCTGCTAGAGGGTTTCCGCATTTCTCACTGTGAAAATCACAGTGAGAAGACACCAGCATCCATAGGAAAGCATTGAGAATGCTTTCCTATGGACTGGCTGAATGCGCACGCAGCTCTTGCCGCGCATGCGCATTCAGCCGGAGAGGAGGAGGAGAGCTCCCCGCCCGGCGCTGGAGAAAGAGGTAAGTTTAACCCCCTCCTCCCCCCAGAGCCCAGCGGTAGGGGGACCCTGAGGGTGGGGGCACCCTCAGGGCACTATAGTGCCAGGAAAACGAATATGTTTTCCTGGCACTATAGTGGTCCTTTAACTCACCTACAGACGTGTTATACATTGGCCCTTTCCTAGCTACACAAACATGACCTATAATAGAGGTTTTTAACCACCATTCTGATTTACCTCTAGTACTTACTTGATGATCAGACTGAGAAAGTATCTGTTGTTCAGCTTCCTTTGCTTCCCATGGCCACTGGTCTCCCATATTAGTACCTCCACATACAAAACAGTTAGTTACATTAAGACTACCCGCAATACTCTCAGCTAAATCTACAAATAGGTTTTTAACATTATGGGGAATTTTATCCTCAACACTCATCTCCTCATAGAAGGAATGAAAAACCTGATGAAACTGAGACGACAGGTTCTCAAACTCAAGTCCTACATATATTATGGTCCCTGGATCTACTCCTGTACCATGTATTTTGAAACCCAAAGAGATTCCCAAACTTGTCAATGAAGTGCTGTGGATTGGAAATGGTCATACGCACAGGGTTACACTCCATAGTTTTACAATACGGTGCAGTGGGCAACCTTTGGATAATCATATCTTGGTCTACTGTTTTTTCCCAGGTCGCCCAACCTACCCATGACCAATAGAGGCAGAAGTTAAAGTCTCTATTTGGGCAGTCAGGATCAGTAGATCTTTTACTGGGACATAAATATTTGTCATTGAACGCATAAGTTCGTTCCCACATTAGATTACCACATACATTCCAAGGTTTTGCACTACCCGAGATCGCCTTACATGCATCAAATAGTACAATACCCGTAGAATGTATGGTATTTATCAAGGTCCCCTGAGAGTTACTATTCCGAATTACCAACCAAATTATACGGGGTTGGAATTGGGGATGAAAACATTTAGGCTCTCCTACTACTGGGTGACACAAACTGTGATCAATATTTAAATATCTACATTTAGATACAGATCCCTTACATTCATACTGTGAGCTCTTCGACCGTGTGACGGCACCTCAGCTTCCCGACTGTGAGGGCTGCAAGGATTGGCGTTCTTCTGATCCTCACTTTCCTTCACAGAGATCTCTTCGAGACACTCTGGCTTATGGCACGTAGGCAGATGGTCAGGCTTTATTATGGTTGTCAAAACACCTACTTGCTGGTCTCTGCAACTTTCAACCACGATTTTTCAAAAATCACCTCATACTTCTCAAGTCACGCTCAATTCGACTGGTCATGCGCTTCAACCGGATCTTGCAAGTATTCTCACGATCTGGAGTAGCTTGCCAGGAATCTTCCGCTGGTTTAACCCTAGAGTGATGAATCCACGGAGTCACTTCTGCCACCTTTACAGCTGTTGGAGTGGACAAAAGAACAACATACGAAGGCTACCAGGATACACCCCAAGCTTTAACTCAATATGTATCGGTGGGATATTACGAGCAAGTCCTGGAGGATTATTCTCTGCCCATACTCCTGGAATGTCAAATAAAGATCCATCACTCTTAGGGTTTGCATTTGTTATTACAGAGTAGAAGCTTCATTCTTCTTCTTTTGGTACCAATACTGCTATCATGCCTGGTGATTTATTAAACTTCAGAGACGTTGATCCATTAGGTAGAAAAGTTATCTGAGCTTGAAGCTTTGATAATAGATCTCGTCCTAGAAGTTGAATTGGACACTCTGGCATATATATAGGAACTGGTGCTTTACAAAATGGCCTCCTAAAATGCAAGTGCGACTCCTGAGAACCGGTCTAGCAGCACTTCTCCCAGTAGCTCCTATTACAGTTACAGTCTTTCCAGATGGAGGAGCTACCAACTTAGTCACCACAGAATGTTCAGCACCTGTATTAATCATGAAAGGACTTCTCTTTCCCCCTATTGTTACATCGACCATAGGCTCCGCTCAGCCAAGGGGGATGGAGCCTGGTCGGTATCAATAGTCTTCCATGACAGTGTCAGCCAGACCTACAAAAATCTCTATCTTCCCTATCCATAGGTCTCTGGGTAGGGGGATAATATCTACCTTATAGCACCCCTCTGCTATTCCCATTATTCCCTCCAAAACTTCCTCTACCTCGTCCTCTATAGCTACTACCATAACCAACTCGCCCTCTCTCTTCTTGTCTACCACCTGCAATATATCCCCTCTGTGGACAGTCACTCTTCCAATGCCCTTCCTCTCTACAATATGCACTTTGATTAAAGGTCCCTTAATCAGCCTATTCTTACTCAGCCTTCTTCACTTCCCTTCCCTGTCTTTCTACACTTGTGATAGCTACCGCTAGCATATCTGCCTTCTTCCTCATTTTACGTTCCTCCTCACGCTTTGTCTCAGTTTCCCTATTCATATACACCTTATTTGCAACCTCCATTAGCTGTGATATGGATATCTCTGCAAATCCCTATAATTTTTGTAGCGTTCTCTTAATATCGCTCTGGGCCTGGCTGACAAATGCTGAGTTAATCATTTGGAAGTTTTCATGGGCTTCAGGATTGAAAGGAGTGTACAATCTATTTGACTCAAGCAGTCTCTCATAAAAAGCACTGGGTGATTCATTAGCTTTTTGTAACACTTCAGCCGTCCTGGACATGTTAATTGCCTTTTTCCCTCCTGCCTTCATGCCAGCAATAATGGCTTGTTGATAGGCCTTTAGATGGATCATGTCAGCGCCATTTACGTTCCAAAGGTCAGTAATAATTGCTGACAATCAGCCCAGGTGGGATTGTGTGTTTGTATAATAGAGGTGACCAAGTCAATCATGGCTTGAGGTTTGTCTGTATACGAAGAGTTATGAGTCTTCCAATTGAATAGATCAGTTGTGGTGAAGGGGACATAGACAAACACTGGATCTGCCCGTTGTATTTGGCCACCATTTTCATCAACGTGTGTTGGGCCCGGTGTAAGTCGGAGAGGCATCTGGCAATGTCGGGATGGAAGGGTGCCAGTCAATTGTCAGGTTAGTATGGGGCTTCGGCAAGGCTGCTCAGTAATAGGTTCAGGTCTGAGAGTAGTAAGATAGGTGGAAGGGGGTGAGCTAATTTTACTAGTCAGCATTTGGCGGATAAAAAAAATTAAAAAAGTGTTAAACCAAAAACCTACCAGTAGGTGTCACCAGAAGGTAAGTAACTGTATCAAAATAATCTTTATGGGTCTAATAATAAAACTTAACTTTTAATATATTTATACATAAAATAAAACCTTATAGCAATAAATATATTAAAATAGGGTAAACAATCCTACTTCTGTCTGTTATATGCTAATATAGAGTTAAAGATAATTAAGCAATGAAATATCAATGTAACTCCCGAAGATGGCCAGTAGGTGGCCCTAGAGTGCTTCCTAAAGTCTAATGAAGCAGATAGACTTTAATTATGTGTTTATTTTATTATTTATTTTAATCACTGTTCACCCTGATATCTAGGCTTGAGTAATTTACCACAGTTCTATGGTAAATTAAACATCTCAGTTTGTATTTTAGTAAAGGGGATATTTTGAACAAAGCTGGGAGGGGCCCATCCAGTAACTAAAAAAGGATAAAAGTGTACTCCAGCATCCTATACCATTAATCATTTCTCCCAGTTGTATTTTAGACTGTCACTGAATGCACGCAGTGTTCAGTAGTTTTAGTGCTATTTCAATGTTTATGGTACAATGTCATTGCTGAGAATGATCTGATCCAATAGACTCAGTTACTGTTATTAAGAATTCTCCTCACAATTTAACTGTTAATAAAATTCAATGCTAAAATACACTCCTACCAAAAAGGAAGTCAATTCAAATTACAAAGAAGCAGTTTGTACAGAAATACAAGAGTTTGAAAGAAAAGAACAGATAGGTATGTGGGTAGGCGTGGACAATAGAGCAAGGGGAGTGCAAATACCAGCTATACCAGTTTTAGCTTGGGAGGAAGAGTAGGGGGAATGGCTACTCTGGCTCTGGAGGATGAATAACGGGGTTGGCAATCAGATGCAAGGGGTGAGAGGTGTCCAAACTGGGTGGGATTAAGGACTTAGTGGACAAACAGGTTCTGGCTACCATGGACTCCATTGTTCCTCTTAGCACAGCTTGTTCCATTTAGCAGTGTTTCAACAATCTGTATACAGAAACTACTCGTATAGCCCCAACATATTATTTATAACAATGTAAACCTGCAGTATTAAATCTGGATCAAAGATCCACAGGAACACTGGTTACCAGAACAGGCCGTCCTCTGCTACACAGAGTATTTTAATCTTTTGGGGGACAGTGTTACACCATAATCACAAACAGCATATTCCTTAGAAAAGTTTTTTTTTTTTTTTTTAAAACATACAAGACAAAGGACTGTTTGTGAATCAGAAGCACCCATGATTTCAACAGAGCGTCTGATTCAAAGCAGTACAAATATACAAACAGTTTCAACAATCACGCCAGTTACCTTAGCAACAGCATAACGCGGCACGGTTACTAGGCCCGAACATACACATACACACGCACTGGATCCTCACACGCTCAACAATATCACGACGTCGCACACACGAAATTAAATCAAAAACCCACCAGAGACTATACACTTATCAATGTAACTATTATTCAAACCATACAATTATTCACACTATTAATCCACATAAACTAACCGATCACATAACATTTCAACAATTTCGTCTCTACGGTCAGTGGTTATGGTACGGTTAGTGATTATTGTACAGTTTAGACAATTATGGTTTTAACGTTACAATATCAGTTAGTACACATGCAAGGTTAAACAGTAATTTTAGTATTTTTCATGTAATATCAGTAGTTATGGTACAAGTCAGTGGTTATGGTACATGTCAGTGGTTATGGTACCGTGCGCTATTTTACACTATACACACAATTTACACTCCCACTAGACGGCAGAGCTCAAGCTTTCTAGCAGGACATACAATTTAACCAATTCACCAGTTCACCAACTACAGTATATCTAACAATATTTACAATAATCCCAACTATTCTAATTGGACAGCACCTTGAGAACTATCAAACTATTTACACCAGGATTCGGTTAGTCTACGCTGCCCAAGCACCACATATAGCGAACTAATGAGCGGAATGTACAACAGGACTCATTTAGTCTATTTACTCTATCAATAGTCTAGTGGTTGAACTTACATGCCTCCCACTTAGCCAAGATAAGTTGAGATCTAGCAGATGGAATGTACACCAGAGTCTGCTTAGTCTCCCGGTCCCCCCGACCTAGCGACCACCTAGACACGCTAGTCATGACAGGACACCGGTGTTGACATGAACTGTTTACACCAAGATTCTGTCTAACCCAAACCACCTGTATTAGACGGGCTGACTACAGAGCGTCTAATGTCAACATAAGCGGTGCGCCTTCGCATCTTCCTTCCAGTGGGAAGGGGCAAATTCCATACAACCAAACCAATTCCAAATACAAACTCTTTGTGGGCTTACCTCTCTAACGGTATTAATCTTACCTCTTCGTTCCTGGACCTGGGCTTCACACTCATTAACGGGGCACCCCGGTACTCACTGCGCAGAAGCCGATGATCTCCTGGACAAAAGGCCAGTGGCGCAGAGACGAAAGGAGGTTCACGCAGAAGTCCAGGGGTGCTGCCGTGGAGAACGTTGGTAAAAGTTTACCGTCTCAAATCTCTGCGCCAGCTTCCGTGCGATGAGGTTCCCGGACCCAATGCACCAAAAATGTTACCGGAGGAATAACAGGAACAAACCGCAGAAGCCACACATAGAGATATGGACACAGGTATTCAGGAAGTAAGAGGCCTTTATTCACGTACCGATCGGGTCTCAGATGGACTAATGTTCCACAACAGATCTGAGCCCAGAACACATGGAGTACATTCCTTATATAGCAAAATAGCTGCGAGCATAAATAGCTACACCCACACATACCCTTAACCAATCAATAAACAGAGTCTGGACTTGCTCATCCGGTCTGACCACATGGCTCACCCGAAACAAAGGACAAAGGAGTGTGATTTCAGTTCCTACATTCCTGCTCAGTACATTGATGACAGTATCTTAGCTACATGTAACTAACTAACTGATACTACAAACACATGTACCTACATATGCTACGTGGCAATCTTGGCCTACTAAACTTCTATTTTACTGGAATTCCATCACACTATTACTCCATATAACCCTTACTATAATCCCTCCTGTTACTCCATATAACTCTCCCTATAACTCCTCCTAGTACTCCATATAACCCTCCCTGTAACACCTCCTATTACTCCATATAACCCTCCCTATAACTCCTCCAATTACTCCATATAACCCTCCCTATAACTCCTCCTATTACTCCATATAACCCTTCCTATAATTTCTCCTATTTCACCATATAACCCTCCCTATAACCCCTCCTATTACGCTATATAACCTCCCTATAACTCCTCCTATTACTCCATATAACCCTCACTATAATCCATATTACTCCATATAACCTCCCTATTACTCCATATAACCCTACCTATAACCCCTCCTATTACTCCATAGAACCTCTCCCTATAACCCCTCCTATTACTCCATATACACTCTGTACTATGAGAAGGGAACCAGGTCCCTAATTTTCAATTAAGACTTGTCAGATGAGAGACTTCACTTTCTTTCTATGTGAAGATTTATGGTTTAGAATACAGTAGTAGTGAAACTGTCCAGGAGAAAATTACAAATGGCAAACATGGTACATTATTAATAGTGCAATAAATTGGATATTGTAAAAAGCGCTAAAAAGACATTCAGGGGAAATGGGAAAAATGATATATAGAATCCGCACTTACATGCCGTTTTGAGAATACAGTATTGTATAAAACAATCAATATGCTGCTGCACACTTAAATGTTGTGGTTCCAGGCTCAAACACACTTATAGGAGAATACAAAAGTGAAAGATAAGTGGAGCGCAGATGGCAGGAAAACCCACCTATAGACCTTGAAGTGCAAGTAAATCAAATATGTATACTTATATTTTGTAGATAAATCTCGATGACATGCAAAGAGAGAAAAAAAATACAAAATAATCGTGCAATATGTCAGAGATAAATAGAAATAGACAAATTTAATAACAGTGCAGATGAAATGGTTAAAAATGGTTAAATACTGCTTACGATATGGCAGTAGGTGAGATTTATGCGGGCAGAGAGGCTCCGCTACTGACAAGCGCTATAGGTCAGGGATCTGAGCGAATTCAGCAGGATCTGCAGAGATGATCTGTAGTTCGGGTGTCCTGCCGGGTTTCCCAATGTTGCAGTTCCGGAGGTGGCCCTTACGCTGTCCGTGCCTCGCAATAGTTGTCCAGATGAACCATCAAAGGTTCAATCTGTTCACGGGGTTTGCAGGTACCGCCCACCTTGATTATGTTAGTGCGTTTCTTACGTAGACGCGTCTCACCTTCCGGCTTCTTCAGAACGTAAGGAGTATAGTCTCTACTGGCAGTAGGGAAACTTTAAGGGCAATGATGGTTCCGCCCTCAAATGTTCCTACTGATTGCAAATGCAAAGTCCAGCCTTTATTTAAAGGTGAAGTTAACAAAAAATAAATGTCTCTGTTTCATTTCACTACACAATTATACATTAACAATTAAAAACATGTAAAGCTAGACAAAGTTCAACTTAAAATTAGAAATCGAAACATACGATGATACATACTACAAACAGCATTAATAATATACAAATGCAATTATATGGTAAGCTCTGTATGAAGTATGTACTTTTAACATATACAGAGGTAGGAATATTTGACACAATCCAAAGACATGATTAATATTCTAAAAAAGAAGAAGATAGATGTTAAAAACTGTAACATGGGAACCACTAATCAGTGTAATCTACACCATGCAATCATGCATACATTTCAATGTTCAAATATGTAATAAGCTTCAATGGGAGCAGCAGAGATGTTATAAATACATAATATAAACAATCATGGGTTATGTTATCCTCACATTACAAAATATCATTTATATATGCAAATATAAAAAATATATATGAATTACAAAGAGAATTTAAAAAAATGCATTATAAAAAATGGCACAATTCGAAATCTTTATTCATGCCCTTTGGGATCAAGGTGTTGAATTCATATATCATTTTCATCGCCGCCCTTCCCATTTTTTGATTTAAGTCATCCACTCTCCAGTTATGATGTATCTTCTGAATGCCTTTAAAGGACCACTATAGTGCCAGGAAAACATACTTGTTTTCCTGGCACTACAGGGTCTCTAGGTCCCCCCCCCCCACCCTCTGGATCCCCCTCCTGTGAAAACCACAGTGAGAAGCGCAGAAGCGCCTCTAGCGGCTGTCACTGGACAGCCACTAGAGGCTGGATTAACCAAATGTAAACATAGCAGTTTCTCTGAAACTGCTTTGTTTACAGCAAAAAGGGTTAAACCTAGCTGGACCTGGCACCCAGACCACTTCATTAAGCTGAAGTGGTCTGGGTGCCTATAGTGGTCCTTTAAAGCGTAATAGAGAGGGGACCCTGTTGTGATGATCTCTGAAGTGAAACCTGATGCTTTTCAAACTTTCTACTGTTATACACATGCTCACCTTTCCTTGTCCTCAGTAGCCTAGAGGTTCTTCCTATGTAATTTAAGCCACAGGGACAGGTGAGGATGTAGAGCACATTCTTAGTGTTGCATGTAATGCAGTCTCCAATTGTGTAGATCTTTTCGTTCACCCTAAATTCTGCAATATGTTGTTTTCCTGAGTGGGTTAATTGACAGGCCCTACATCTGCCGCACCCAAAAAAACCTGAAAAATTAGTTAAAAAAATATTATTGGCCTTTTGTGTGTCCTTTTCTTCTCTAATGATCCCATCTGTTAAAACCCTTTTCAAGTTAGGTAAACCCCAATGTACAATCTTCGGTTTGTATGGTAGAATCTCCCTAAATACTGGATCTTTCAACAATAATAATCAATGTTTAGCTATGATTCTACGTACTTGTGCATTTTGATTCCCTGAGTATTGACATATAAATGGGATTACCTCCTTGGTTGGTTCTTTTGTTTTATACTTTATAAGATCCTCCCTTGCTATTTGGTCAATAGAGTTCATAGTGCCTTGCAGAGTTGAATCACTATAGCCTCTGGTTTGGAAGTCCCTAGTGATTATTTTTCCCTGAGTGATAAATACTGCTTGTTCAGAGCAATTTCTTTTAATGCTGACATATTGACTCTTAGGCACATTGTCCAACCATGGACTGTAGTGACAGCTTGTCCTCTCAATGTAGCTGTTCACATCCACAGCTTTGAAGTAGGTTTTAGTCTTTATGCTGTTATTCTCGATGTAGATGGTAAGGTCCAAGCAATCTACCTGGGTTTCGCTATATTGAAAAGACAATGAACCCCCCAATCGTTTTGGTTGACAGGTGCAATGAATTCCAAGAGAAGAGATTCACCTCCCCTCCATACAAGAAAAAGTTAATCTATATACCTCTTGTAGAGCAGCAGGTTTTTCCCCCAGTGTCCGCCACCGTTCAAATGACTACTTTCCCAGAATGCCATGAACAGATTGGCGTAGCTGGGTGCAAACCTGGTGCCCATAGCTGTGCCACGTTTCTGGAGGTAGAAGTCATTCCTAAACCAGAAGTAGACATTATTGAGGATCAACTCTATAGATTCTAAAACAAACTGGTTTTGTATTTCTGGGTAATATGCTATTTATAAAAAGAAGGCGGTGGCTTGTATATCCAATTCATGTTGAATGATGGCCTCTGTCCTTCGGGATTACTTCCCAATTATCTCCAGGATAGAAGACTCTGTGGAACTGGTTTTGGGCAGAAAAGCCATGCTTCATTTGGTCACAATGGACGTTGATCTAACTTTTGACCCACTGGACCAATTTGTATGATTTTGACGTATGTTGGTATTTGGAGTATGCCGATTCTGAAAATGTAATGAATGTGAATGTGATGCATACTTTTAAAGTTATGAATATTGTGTAAAACTGTGTATTTTCCTGCCTGTGATAATTATAATAACCCATTGTGTAAGGTAATTGTATCACAGGCAGAGGGGAGGAATTTGTGTGGGAGTGTCTGAGTGTATTGTACATGTTTATTGGTTGTTTTACAAAACCCTGTGGGTGGTACTAATGTGTAAGAATGTGTATATAAGAACAATAAACCCACAGCTCTGTCAGTTCTACTTCACCCTCAATTTGGAGTACCGTCTCTTATTGGGGGAATCTGATACAAGGGATTGCTGTGCTCTGCATATTCCCTTGCTATAATCACTCCTAAGCTCTTTTAAGAGCTTGTTCCTGCTTCACTCTCTTGGATGAGAGGTTCACCCACTGGAGCCCGGAGCCTTGTCATAGGTCCAGGGTGTGTAAGAGATGGCGAGACCCCAACTGTGGCAAAACTAGCCACTTAAGACTGTATTTCCAGTAATGTGATGTTGTAACTTTAAGGCTACCTGAACTGAATATATTCACTTGTTTGTAATTTATGTGAACGAGAGTATTCGTACGCTGGCGACATGAAAGCCACCAGCATTCATACAGTTTCACGAACAGTGAATTTCAACACTGTTCGTGAAATGAACAAACTACAAAATAGGAGATCACACACAGGAGGTCGTGTGGCTCCCATCAAGTATCTCAACATTGTATATTTCGGTAGTTAATGGATGTTCAGGATGGCTGCCATTCGGATACCGACCACGCGGCGGTCGGCCATCTTGGATCCTTTGTTAGCCAGTGGTATTTTGTCGTCGAGTGCCTGGAACTAAAATCGGCTACTCGACGGCACAAATAACGCTGGACTTCCAGGTCGTTCGGGAGCACCGGTCTTTCAGTATTTCATCCCTGCTGGTCTATTCATGTCTTTGGTGAAAAATTTATGTTTAGGTGTATTTCGTGCGGCGTTCGGCTAATTGTGCTGGGATCTGAGTGGTACTTTCACGAAGTATGCGCTCAGACCCCAGCTATCTGCCAAACGGTCATTCGGTATAATAGCATGAATAATGTTAAAGTTATACATTTCTATGTAAAAAGCCAGTTCTGCTGGACAGAGGGATAATCCACTTAACAAGATATTCTAGTGGGAGTATCCCTCTCGTACAGCAGTGCATGGTGGGAGAAATGTCTTGGTTGTTAAGTTCCCCATGTAGTCCCCTACTGTACAACCCCTGTAAAGTCAGTAGGGAAACCCCTTGCATGGGGAACCACATAAATACTGTGACTTGTGATTAAAACCTCAGTTGACCCCCAGCCTATGTGTCATCTAGTTCTTGGGAAGGAAAGATTTATACAACGCTACCGGGATTATTGTATGCTGTACTTATTTTACCTGGATTATTCTATGCTGTTCCTGTCTACCAGCGGAGATATTGTGGATTATACTACCTCTCCGCTACACCAACCAAGCTACGGCGGGGAGCATCCTTCAACAAAGGTACCCAGTCGGGGTGCCAGGTGATCCGTTACAGTCATCTCCTAAGAGATTCTGTAAAATAAAAGTCTCGGCTCAAGATGACTATCCCACCGCCCTTATCGGCCGGTTAGACCACAATACTAGTGTCCTCTTTTAGATCTTTCAATGCTCTGCGTTCTTGTATATTTAAATTAAACTGATATTTGTTTAAAGGTTTCAATGATTCTACTTCATGGTTTACCATTTTTTTGAAAGGTAGTCATTTCATCTGAAATCTTCCATTTTGGGAAAAAGGAAGATTTATCTTTTCATTTAGTATGTATAATATCTGACTCTGACTCATTACTAGTGATGGGGTCTTCGGTTTTATGCATGATTGCACTTTAACGGTTTTCTCTTGCTTGGTGTAGATTACACTGATTAATGCTTCCCATGTTACATTTTTTGACATCCATCTTTTTTAGAATATTAATCATGCCTTTGAAAATGCCATTGTGTCAAATATTCCTACCTCTGTATATGTTAAAAGTACATACTTAATACAGAGCTTACCATGTAATTGCATTTGTATATTATTATTATCATTGTGCCGAAGTGCCCTTCGCCACTTGGTCCTGGAGAGGCCTGCTTGCCAGCCTCTTGCCCTATGATTATGGCCCTGGGGTGTATTGCCCTTTAAAAACAGTATATGGGCATATGAAGACTTTTTGTGACAATGTCCCTTTAAAACTGTGTCCCCAGACTGTTAAACTACTTTGTGCATGTCATTTTCCTATTTGGTTCGGTAAATGGGGCTAACTGAACCAAGTACTACACAGAAGTGGAAGTGTGCGGCTAATTTACTTCCCAGGCTGGCGGATAACCGCAGGTTAATTGCAGACACCTGGGTGGTCTCCGTTCGTGCAGTCGAACACATGGCGGCGGCCATCTTTGTTAGTCAAACACGGACAGCGGTGTGTGCAGCCAAATCTATGGAACTAAAATCTGCTACCCATTTGCATGAACACCGCTGACCGTTACCTTCTCCTCCACTTTGACGCTTCGGCTGAAAACTAAGTCCTGTTCGACGATTCGAACGCACAGTATACTAAGCCATTTGCACGAACGGTGCTCCGTTCGTGCATTCAAATGGGACTTAGTCATTTTTCTGAGTGAAATTGACCGACCGCACAGCCCAAATCTATGGAACTGTTTTGGGCAGGAATGCATGCTTGTGGTCGGTCAAAAAGGACTTCCAGCTAACTTTTTAACCACTGGAGGTAATTGTCTGATTTTTGGGTATGTTTGTATTTGTATTATACGGATTAATAATATGTGATTTATGGAGCTTGTATGTGTGGCGGAACCAACCTCGCCACTGTGCACTGGAGAAGCCTGGTTGCTCGCCTGTTTCCTTTAGACTATGGCTCGGCATTTAAAACCTTTTATTTTCCCTGCAGAAAGATGTATTCGTGCCTTTCTGCCGGGGTGTTCGGTAGATTCAATCTACCGAACCAAGTACCGAACAATCGACCACCTGGGAACTGGAGTGTGCCGTCAATTGACCGCCCAGAAGCTGCGGTTAACCGCAGCTTATTTGACGAACGCTGGGTGGCCTTTGTTCGTTTGCCGAACACGTGGCAGCGACCATTTTAACTCCCGAACGGCTAGCGGTGTTCAGCGCCCAAACTATGGAACTGGAAACTGACACTTATTTGTGCGAACACCGCTGAGCCTCCTTACCTCTGCATTCGGAAGTTTAACCGTATGAACAGCATCACCAAAGATAGCCATGCCATGGAGCCTATTCGTGTAACTAAAGACTATGGGAAAGACTTTGGCTCCACGGCAATTGAACTGTATGTATGTGATCTGAGCGCCATTCGGTAATAATGTGCGCTCAGATCTAAGCTATCTGGGGATATGTAGAATGTATGTGTTTTATTCATTTTTTGCAACATTGGGTATTTTTATGTCTTTTTACCAACATGTGCTCAATGGAGTTTTGCCTCTGTCCTGGGAGATAATTGGATTACTTCCCAATTATCTCCAGGATGGAGAGGAGGGATTGTGATGCATTGTGGGAGTGTTTAAAGGTGTTTGTCTGTGATTGGTCAATGTCCCATATGTTTCCCAGTCTTCCATCTGGTCCCCTAGGGGAGTGTCCACCAGGTGGGAGACCTGCCTAAAAGCAGGGCAGGTAGCCCCAGTAAATCAGTTCTGCTTGACCCTTAAACGAAGTGTCGTCTCGTTCTTGGGGGGAATTGGATTGTATGCTGATTGCCAGGAGTGTAAGCTGATTGTATGCTTTTCCTGTTTGGCTGTTTCCAGTGTTTGTGTGCTTCCTGTTCGGGAGTTGGAGGATTCGTGTAGTTTGCAGTTCGGGAGATTGGTGCTTGCAGTAGCTGCCTGGGCATCTGAAAGGGGAATATCGCCTAAACGGTTTTTAACCTGTTGTGTGCAAAATGGTCCGTTACAGTATGTATATTTTGTGAGTTATGAATATTGTATAAAACTGTGTATTTTCAGGCAGAGGGGAGGATTTTGCTGGAATGAATGGGAGTGTTTAACTGTATTGTACATGTTTGATTGGCTGTGCCACAAAACCATGTGGGTGGTAACATTGTGTAAAAAGTTGCATATAGGTGCCAATAAACCCTCAGACTGCTGAGTTCCTGTTTTGACACTCAACATAAAGTCTTGTCTCATGATTGGGGAAAAGGCTGCATTTACACTGGGGGATTGCTATACTCTACATACTCCCCTTGCTATAATCACTAAGCTCTTTTAAGAGCTTGTTCCAGCTTCGCTCTCTGCAGGGAGAGGTTCGGTCTGCAGTGCTTACGGTGTCTGGAGAAGAGCTTGGAGCCCTCAGGAAGCACAAGGAACATCCATCAACTGAAGTACTCGATTGGAGTACTGGAGTTCCGTTACAATCATCATATGTTTCGATTTCTAATTTTAAGTTTAACTTTGTCTAGCTTTAGATGTTTTTAATTGTTAATGTATAATTGTGTATTGAAATGAAACAGAGACATTTATTTTTAGTTATCTTCCCCTAAATAAAGGCTGGACTTTGCATTTGCAATCAGTAGGAAATTTGAGGGTGGAACCATCATTGCCCTTAAATGTTTCCCTACTGCCAGTAGAGACTAAACTCCTTACATTCTGAAGAAGCCGGAAGGCGAAACGCGTCTACGTAAGAAACGCACAGTAATGGACCGTTTTGCACACAAGTGGTTAAAACCCGTTTAGGCGATATTCCCCTTTTCAGATGCACAGACAGCTACTGCAATCACCAATCTCCCGAACTGCAAACACATGAATTCACCAATCTCCCGAACTGGAACCAGGGGAATGCTCCAAACTCCCAAACAGGAAAAACCATACGAACAGTTTACACTCCTGGCAGTCGCACTGTAACAGCATACAATCCAATTCCCCCAAGAACGAGACGACACTTCATTTGACGGTCAAGCAGAACTGATTTAATGGGGCTACCTGCCTGGCTTTTATGCAGGTCTCCCACGTGGTGGACACTCCCCTAGGGGACCAGATGGAAGACTGGGAACATTTTGGACATTGACCAATCACAGGCTTACAATCCCACAATGCATCACAATCCCTCCTCTCTGTCCTGGAGATAATTGGGAAGTAATCCAATTATCTCCAAGGACAGAGGCAAAACTCCATTAACCACATGGCAGACTGTGGCAGAAGCAGCCACAAGAGACTTTTGCATTGATTATTGCCTGTATTTGAACTGTATGTTATTTGAGCATAGTGGATTTTATTAGACTGGTTCTGGCCCTTTAAATGCTCTGACAAAGGATCTGCAGTTTTGCTATGCACTTCGGATGCAGAGTATAAAGAAAAACCCTGTTTTATGGACTTAGTTTGACTGTTTTATTCCCCTCCCTCCTAGAACACCAGTTTAAAAACCCTTAATAACTGTCATATTTCCAAACGCTGTCTGTCTTTAACTGTCAGTTTGTTTTCCTCTGAGGAGGAGTTGTTTTGCTGCGTGAGTGCTGTTGCTTTGTGTGCTCGTTAAAACAGACCTGCTTGACCCTTTCTTGAAGCCTTGGCTCATGCTTGGGGGATGGGATAAGTCTGCAGTGCTGATGGTGTCGGTTGGAGTGCTTTAAGTCCTCGGCAAGCACTAGGAGCATCGATTGGCGGAGGTACTCGGTCGGAGTGCCAGCGGGTCTGTCACAATTGGTGGCAGCGACGGGATTCAAACCTCACAGCAGACCGTTGTTTGGCAGTTACAGCCATTTGGGAAATTTGCTATTTCGTATGGAACCGAAAGGAAAGGGTATGTGAATATACCCGAACGGATAGTGAATGGGGACAGACTATACCAACTTGAAAAGGGCCACGCTAAAAGAACTATTGGAAGCAAGGGGAATTATTGCAAGCAATAAAACCAAAGCTACCCTTATTGCTGAACTCATGGAGGGAGACCGGGCAGCTGCTGCAGCACCTCTTATGGACAGCACACAGAATGAGTTTGGAAGAGAACTCCAAAGCAGACTGGCCTTTTTCCCAGGTACGCCTCCCACAGAAACCTTGGAAAGGATTATGGCAGATGTCCACGAATACATAATGGAAAAGCAGCGGGCAGACCGGAGGTCCAGAGAGGGGTCCCTAATCACACCACACATAGTACCGGGGAAGCCTAAAATCCCGTACCATGCTTTTAAAAACTATGTGGAGACCGAAGACATCGATGGCTACTTGCATGACTTTGAAAGGTTATGCCAATTACATGAGATCAACGCCACCGACCAGGTACCCCTGTTGGTGGGTAAGCTAGCGGGCCGGGCAGCAGAAGCCTACCGCACCATGCCAGACGAGGATAGCAGAGACTACCAGAAAGTAAAGCAGGCGATCCTGGACAGGTATGCAATTACCCTGGAGGCATACCGGCAGCGGTTCCGAGAAAGCCGAAAGACAGAGAAAGATACTCACATGGAGTGGGCACACCGCTTAACTAGGGCGGGCAAAGGTTGGGTGCAAGCCGCACAAGCAACCACAGTGGAGGACATGCTACAATTACTGCTACTGGAGCAATTCTTCCAGGGGTTAACCCCGGATTTACAAAACTGGCTGAGGGATCGGAAACCGCGCATCTTAACTGACGCCGCCAGGTGGGCAGACGAGTACCAACATGCCAGGAGGGCACAGCGGGCACAGGCACGGTCCATCTTGGGAGCTGCTAACCCACCTCCCACCATTAACCCCACCCCAGCACTGCGTCCGGGTGGTGGGAACTACCAAACCCCTCCACGGTACAACAATGCCCGATCTTTCATCAGGTGCTACACGTGTAACCAGCAGGGCCACATGCAGAGAGACTGTCCCAGAAACAGAAACCGCTCCACGTGGAATACTCCAACTAATTCCCTTGCAAACCGGGCAGCAGTACACTGCTACCAGAGTGAGCCTCGACAACCTTTCTTCGGGACCCGGTCTAATGAAGAATCTTTGGGCACCCTCCACGAGGTTAACCCAGTACAAGCAGCTGCAGACAACCGACAGGGACACCGCCAAGGGTTACACGTAGAGGGAAAACGCCTTCAGGGTCTGCGCGATTCTGGGGCCACCATAACCCTGGTTCGCAATCACCTAGTCCCCAAGCACCAGCTCACTGGAGAATATGTGGCAGTCCGGGTGGCAGGGGGAGCGATTTACAAAATTCCCACTGCTAAAGTACATTTGGATTGGGGAGCGGGGTCGGGGAATGTGGAAGTGGGCCTCATGCAGGACTTACCAGCTGATGTCATCCTGGGTAACGACTTGGGGGAGCTGACCTCCGCTTTTGTTTCTCAGCACCCCGCGCAGGAAGCGCTACCCGTGGTAACACGGCAGCAGGCCTGCACCACCGCATCTTCGGAACACTCTGAGGCTCCGGTAAGTAACAGTACTGACCCACCTTTCGTCCCCTGGGCTCCCCCCTTAGAATTTGGTACTGAAGTAGTCACCGACCCGGCCCTGCAGGTATACCGGGATAGGGTTACACAGAATCAGGCAGGGTTGGAGAGGGAAAGATACGATTGGGAGAAAGGATTATTGTATAGATATGCTGAGAAGGTAGTAGCAGGATCTGTACCCACGACCCTCACACAATTAGTCGTGCCCCGAAAGTACAGGCAAGAATTACTATGTATTGCCCATGACATCCATTTATCAGGACATCTAGGCGTCAGTAGGACGAAGCATCGTTTGACCCAAAACTTCTTTTGGCCAGGGGTCTCCAGAGATATTCGGTAGTATTGCCAAACTTGTGACACATGCCAGAGAGTAGGGAAGAGAGGGGACCGGTACAAGGCAAAAATGCACTCCCTACCCATAATGAACCCTTCAGTAGAGTGGCCCCCTAGCAAAACCCAGCCCGTCAGGGAAGAAGTATATACTAACCGTAGTAGACTATGCCACTCGGTACCCAGAGGCCGTAGCCCTGACTAATATCCATGCGGAGACTATAGTAGATGCCCTAATCCGGATATTCTCCAGAATGGGGTTCCCCAAAGAGATTATCTCAGATCGGGGTACCCAATTCACAGCCGAAGTCACTCATCAGTTATGGAGAACATGTGGGGTGAAGACGGTACGGTCTAATCTCCAGGCGGCCCAGCAACGACAGCACAGATGGTAAGATAGGGGAGCCAGAGACCGCAGTTTTCAAATAGGACAAAAGGTGTTAATCTTGAAGCCAGTCCAAAATGACAAACTGCAGGCCTCTTGGCAAGGCCCTTATAAGGTGGTGGAACAGGTATGTGACACCACCTATATAATTGCCCCATGTACAGGAGCAGGCGGTAGACGCATGCTCCGCGTTAACATGCTGAAACCCTATCACGAGCGGACAGAAGAAGTAACTGCCATATGTGCCTCAGCCGCCGAGGACCCGGATAATCTACCCCTACCTATTAGCCCAAGGGGGGGCCAACACCGAATTAGGGGAAGTACAGCTAGGAGACAGGCTGAGCACTAGAGAGCGAGCTCAAATACTAGAGCTGATCCGGGAAAAAGGGGATACATTCTCCAACCAGCCCGGGTATACCCCGCTGGCTACCCACAGGGTAGAAACCCCAGGGCAACACCCTCTTCGACAAACCCCCATACCGCATACCCGAATCCGTAAAAGATCATATGCGGAAGGAGATTGACGAAATGTTACAACTAGGAGTGATAGAACACTCAGATAGCCCATGGGCTTCTCCGGTAGTGCTGGTACCGAAGCGGGACGGAACCACCTGCTTCTGCGTCGACTACCGGAAACTTAATGATAAAACAATTTCAGATGCCTATCCCATGCCCAGAATCGATGAGCTCTTAGATAAAATGGCCAGGGGCCAGTACCTCACCACAACAGACTTGTGCAAAGGGTACTGGCAGATCCCACTAGCCGAGGATGCCATCCCAAAGTCCGCATTCGTCACCCCGTTTGGGCTATACCAATTCAAGGTGATGCCATTCGGGATGAAGAATGCGCCGGCTACGTTTCAGCGGATGGTGGACCGGTTACTGGACGGATCCCAGGAGTATGCTTGCGCCTATTTAGATGACACAGCAATATTTAGCAATTCCTGGGACGAGCACTTGACCCATATAGGAGCCATCCTCGACCGCATCAGGGAGGCAGTTCTCACGTTAAAACCCAGCAAGTGCCACGTAGGGATGGCCGAAGTGCAGTACTTAGGCCACAGGGTGGGCAGCAAAAGCCAGAACCCGCTAAGATAGAGGCCGTAGCTAAGTGGCCAACCCCTCGCACGAAAACTCAGGTTTTAGCTTTTCTAGGGACCGCCGGGTATTACCGTAAATTTGTACCTAATTATAGTGCCCTAGCCAAGCCCCTTACTTACCTCACCAAAAAGAACTTACCCAAAGTAGTGACCTGGAGCAGAGAAGTGTGAGAAGGCATTCCAAGAACTGAAAACTGCCCTAATTCATGCCCCTGTACTGGCCGCTCCCGATCCAACTAAACGCTTTCTCGTTCATACAGATGCTTCTATGTTTGGATTGGGAGCAGTGCTGAGCCAAGTTGGGGCCGATGGCGGCGAGCATCCAGTCGCTTACTTAAGTCGGAAACTACGACCCAGGGAAGTAAGCTATGCCGCCATCGAGAAGGAATGCCTGGCGGTAGTGTGGGCCCTCAAGAAACTACAGCCCTACTTATATGGACAACAATTTGCCTTGCTCACAGATCACAACCCGTTGGTGTGGCTAAACTGGGTGTAAGGGGACAACGCTAGACTACTGAGATGGAGCTTGGCACTACAACCATTTGATTTCACCATCCAGGGAAACAAAATGGTAACGCCGACGGGTTGTCCAGACAGACAGAACTCGAGAAATGATCTGTGAGCACTCCTCCGGACATCCCCAAGCAGATCCGTTGGGATCAGACTGTGTATGCCGGCTTGGTTCTGGGGGAGCATTGTGACAGAAGCAGCCACAAGAGACTTTTGCATTGATTATTGCCTGTATTTGAACTGTATGTTATTTGAGCATAGTGGATTTTATTAGACTGGTTCTGGCCCTTTAAATGCTCTGACAAAGGATCTGCAGTTTTGCTATGCACTTCGGATGCAGAGTGTGAAGAAAAACCCTGTTTTATGGACTTAGTTTGACTGTTTTATTCCCCTCCCTCCTAGAACACCAGTTTAAAAACCCTTAATAACTGTCATATTTCCAAACGCTGTCTGTCTTTAACTGTCAGTTTGTTTTCCTCTGAGGAGGAGTTGTTTTGCTGCGTGAGTGCTGTTGCTTTGTGTGCTCATTAAAACAGACCTGCTTGACCCTTTCTTGAAGCCTTGGCTCATGCTTGGGGGATGGGATAAGTCTGCAGTGCTGATGGTGTCGGTTGGAGTGCTTGAAGTCCTCGGTAAGCACTAGGAGCATCGATTGGCGGAGGTACTCGGTCGGAGTGCCAGCGGGTCTGTCACACAGACAAAGGACAATAAAATACATAAAAATACATACTGTTCTGAGGAGGTCTCCGGACCTCATAACACCCACACTCACCCCGAGACTTACCTCAACATCCGGAGGCAGACACGACCCCAAAATCGGGACATTCGGCACACCGCCCACCACCCCGAGCAAGGTCCTCCACAGGTGGCCACTATTCTCCCGAACCTCCGCTAGCCGCAGCCAGGACCCGGCAGTGACCACTCGAACGCTGAAGGCTGACTCCTATAATCGACGGCCGTGATGGCAAACGGCAAATCACTTACAAACTCAGACTACAGTATGGCACAACAGTTAATGTGCACAAGCTATCTGTTGTTATTTTTCATGTTGTTTTTCTGTTGTTTTTATATAGTTTTTTCTTTATGCTTGCTTTTTACTTCCTATTACCGGTGTAGAGACACAATCTCAGGCCTCAGACCAAAACACACAGTATCTACAGCATCTCACACCAGAGCACTTAGTATATAAGGCAGACCTACCACAAAGGTCAGACCCACCACAGAGACCAGGCCAACAAACGCCTCTCCACTCCCCCCCCCCCCGGGTAACAGGGGATAGCGACCCACACAACAGGCTACTAGCCACCTGACCCTCTCAGGCATGCGTTTATCACAAACCACCCACAGACAGACCAGACATGCTAGACATGCACAAAACCACGCTCTCCACAGACACTTCACTAACGAACACACAAGGGGCTAGAAGAGCACACACGCTCTCGCTTAATCACCACACTAACTATTTCCTACTATACGAAACAAGACTGAGAATGTCCTCGAGGCTAACAATAAATAAATATAAAATGTGCAGGTTATATACGAAACCACAGTATGAACATAAAACGATTGTTGTTAATGTGCTTGACACAGCTGTTGTGGCGTTTCAAGCTGGTTATGTCACCTTGTGCACGTGAAAAATAAAGAATTTAAAAAAAAAAAAAAATACATACTGTTACATTTTTCACATAGAACATACACATTCTACCAATCCCCAGATAGCTTAGATCTGAGCGCACATTATTACCGGATGGCGCTCAGATCACATACATACAGTTCAATTGCCATGGAGCCAAAGTCTTTCAGTATACGGCTGGGCTCCATGGCATAGCTATCTGGGGTAGCATGGGTACCGAATGGACCGTTGTTCGGATAATTGACTGCAGGTAGGAGAAGGGAGGTCAGCGGCTCAGCGGTGTTCGTGACTTTAACAGTCCGCAGAAAGGCACGAACCAGCCTTTCTGCAGGGAAAAAGAACAGTGTTAAACATGGGGCCATATTCCAGTGGCAGGAGGCGGGCAACCAGGCTCCTCAAGTGGCCAGTGGCGAGGTTGGTTCCGCCACACGCACTGACGTAATCAAGGTGGGTGGCACCTGCAAACCCCGCAAACAGATTGAACCTTTGACGGTGTAGCAGAGAGGTAGTATAATCCACAGTATCTCCACTGGTAGACAGGAACAGCATAGAATAATCCAGGTATAACAAGTACAGCATACAATAATCCTGGTAGCGTTGTATAAATCTTTCCTTCCCAAGAACTAGACGACACATAGGCTGGGGGTCAACTGAGGTTTTAATCACAAGTCACAGTATTTATGTGGTTCCCCATGCAAGGGTTGTACAGTAGGGGACTACATGGGGGACTTGACAACCAAGACATTTCTCCCACCATGCACTGCTGCACGAGAGGGATACTCCCACTAAAATATCCAGTTAAGTGGATTATCCCTCCGTGCAGCAGAACTGGCTTTTTACACAAAAATACATAACTTTACCATTATTCCTGCTATTATACCGAATTCGGCAGATAGCTGGGGTCTGAGCACATACTTTGTGAAAGTACCGCTCAGATCCCAGCACAATAAGCCGAACGCCGCACGAACTACACAAACATACATTTCTCAACAAAGGCACGAATAGAACAACAGGGATAAAATACCGAAAGACCGATGCTCCCAAACGGCCTGGAAGTCCAGCGGTATTCGTGCCATCGAGTAGCCGATTTTAGTTCCAGGCACTCGACGACAAAATACCACTGGGCTAACAAAGGATACAAGTTGGCCGACCGCCGCGTGGTCGGTATCCGAACGGCGGCCACCCCGAACATTCATTAACTACCGAAAGATACAGTGTTACGATACTTAATGGGAGCCACACGACCTCCTGTGTGTGGTGTCCCATTCGGTAGTTTGTTCATTTCACGAACAGTGTTGAAATTCACTGTTCGTGAAACTACTGTATGAATGCTGGTGGCTTTCATGCCGCCAGCATACGAATGCTCTCGTTCACATCAAATACATACAAGGAATACACTCAGTTCAGATAGCCTTAAAGCTACAGCATCACATTACTGAACATACAGTCTTAAGTGGCTAGTTTTGCCACAGACGGTTCATCGGGACAACTATTGCAAGGCACGAACAAAGTAAGGGCTACCTCCGGACCTTCAGCATTGGGCGACCTGGCAGGACACCCGAGCTACAGATCATCTCTGCAGATCCTGCTGAATTCGCTCAGATCTCTGACCTAAAGCGTTTGTCAGTAGCGGAGCCTCTCTGCCTGCATAAATCTCACCTACTGCCATATCATAAGCAATATTTAACCATTTTTAACAATTTCATCTGCACTGTTAGTAAATGTGTCTATTTCTATTTATCTCTGACATATTGCACGATTGTTTTGGATTTTTTTGTTCTCTCTTTGCATGTCATCGAGATTTATCCACAAAATATAAGTATACATATTTGATTTACTTTCAATTCACATAAGATCTATAGGCGGATTTTCCTGCCATCTGCGCTCCACTTAGCTTTCACATTTCTAAGTATAATTATATATCATCTTCGGCAAACCGGTCTGAAATCAGCGAAACAAGTCAATTTATTTATGTATGAAAATAAAAACATGACATTAATTTAATCATTTGTTTTTAATAGTTCAAGTTGATGTTTTTGTCTGTTAGAATATTTAATAATTTCCTCCGATAACCCTCCACGTACAGGACAGGTCTGGGAGTAGGTGTTTTATTGTCCTGAGTTATCCCATTGTCCATGCTGGAGAAGGCCTCCTGGATGGCGGTACACAGGCTCTGGATGCTATCCGGGGGGCCATCCCATCTGCCGGCCTCCGATCACATGCAGATGGAGGTGGTACACAGACTGTGCCCCTTGCTTCCCATCATTAATCACTGCAGATAATGGAAGCAGAGACAGACTGACTGACACATAGAAAGACACACAAAGTCTTAAAGCAGTCTAAAGCAAGATTAAATACGATGATACAAATTTACAGTAAGATAGCTCAAACTCTAGGGCAGGCTTTCCTAAACTCCAGCCCTCCAGATGTTGTGGATGTGGATGTTACAGCTGTGGTTGTTACAGCTGTGGTTTGTAGGATGATGTTCAGATGTGGGAGTGTTGCAGCAGAGGTCTGTGGTGGGCAGTTATATGGTGTTACAGCTGTGGACTGTGGGGGGGGGGGCAGGTGTAGGGTGAGGTTCAGAAGTGGGGGTGTTGCAGCTGAGGTTTTGGGACGGGGGCAGCAGTTGCAGGGGTGAGAGGTGGGGTTGCAGTTGTGAGCCTGATAATAAAATTTAAAAAGCAAAGCAGAAGTTAAAGGAATACTAGAATGTCAGGAACACAAATGCGTTTAGGTGTCAGGATCCCCTTACCTCCCTTTAAAGACTTAAAAACTCATCTCGTTTACAGCATCACACGGTCCAATGCGACAGGCCCCATTACACCTCCGTGGCTAAGATAATTAAATTTGATTTTCTCAGCCAATCCAATGATTTACCATAGGACTGCATTGGGAGGGTATCGCATATGGGCAGCAAAATGGCCCGCTGCACTGTGGCAAACCTAGCCACTTATAGACTTACACCGTATATTCAAGCCAATTGTATATTCCTGCTACTGTTAATTTTATTGTGCAATGTATGCGGCATTCGTGTGTTACAGCACATGAATACCACTGATGTTAAGTCTGGTTATCCACAAACAGTGAATCACCACACTGTTCGTGGAATAAGCAAAGTACCGAATGGAAGACCACCCATAGCCGGTCGTGTGTCTCCTATTATGTACTTTGCAACATTGTCTCTGTGGCGAAACCAACCTCGCCACTGGGCATTGGAGAAGCCTGTTTGCCCGCCTCGTGCCTGCTGACTATGGCCCCTGGGAGATTTGGCCCTTTTAATACAGTATTTGGGCAATTGTATTTTATTATGCTGCTGCTGGCCCTTTAAGAACCATCTGGGGACATACTGTGACTTTTGGGAACAATACCCCTTGGAAGATATTACCTGTTAAAGACTATTTTAGCAGATTGGATTTTAAAAGACTTGCTGCCCCTTTAAGTTGTTTTGGAGCAGTTCTGCAACTTTAAATTGGCACTTCAGATGCAGCCAAAGTGCCGAAGTAGTCGAAGTGGCTGCCATTCGACAAATAAACACGTTGCGGCGGCCATCTTTAATTCAGCTGAAGTTTTACCTTCTCCAAACTTCAATGCATTCAACAGTTCGAATGGTTGTCGTTCGTCTGTTTGAACTGACTTTAACATGGGAAATAGACCGACCGCACAGCCTGATTCTCTGGAACTGTTTTGGGCATGAAAATGTGCTTGCGGTCAGTCAAACTTGACATATCTATCTCCCGAACGGCTGAACGGATTCGAATGATTTTTGGGTATGTTTATATTTGAAATTAATTAATAATATGTAATTTTTATGAAAATTGGATGTATATTTTTAAAGTTATAGTATATATATATATATATATATAAACTGTATTTTTCCTTCTTGTGTTAATTATGTTAACCATTGTGTACCATAATTATATCACAGGCAGAGGGGAGGATTTTGTGTATAATTGCTGGGAGTGTTTTCTGTAATGTACGTGTGTTATTGGTTGTTCTGTAAAACCCTGTGGGCAGTACTAAGTTTGTGGATTGGGAATAAAAGAGGCTGTATGTGCCAATACAGTCAGTTCTACTTCACCCTCAATTTGGAGTGCCTTCTCTTATTGGGGGAATCTGCTACAAGGGATTGCTATGCCCTGCATACTCCCTTGCTACATTCACTGCTAAGGTCTTGTAAGAGGTTGTTCCTGCCTTGCTCTCTGGAGGAGTCTACGGTGGTTATGGTGTCGGCTGGAGTGCTTGGAGCCCTCAGGAAGCGCTATGAGCATCCATCAACGGAGGTGCCCAGTAGGGGTGCCAGGTGATCCGTTACAGTATCTCTGTTAATTGCGGTCTGTTACGGGTGGCCGCCATTCGTGTACCGAACACGAGGCGGCGGCAATCTTTGTTCGAGGAAAACCAGCGGGGTTTTGTCGTCGAGTGCCTGGAACTAAATTTGGCTGCTCGGTAACACAAGCCCCGCTGGACTTCCGAGCCGTTCGGGAGTTTGCCGATTTCGGGACTTTCATTCCCTCCGTTCAGGCAATCGGTTAAACAAATTGGTCCTGATAAGCTATGTAATAAATGGTTAAATAGCTGTCTAGCACAAATATTATGTGGGTTATGGATTTTAATATGAAAACTATATTTCTCTGTACCAAGGGATAATCCCATTAGCAATGCATTCTGGGATGATTATCTCCTTGGTACAGCAATCTATGCTGGGTATTCTGACTGTAAAACTAAGTCCCCCATGTAGTCCCCTACTGGACAAACCCTGCATTGTGCCTCGGGAAACCCCATACAATTGTAACCACATAAATACTGTGCCTGTGAATAAAAACCTCAGTTGACCTCCAAACTATGTGTCGTCTAGTTCTTGGGAGGAAGGGATTATTACTACGGTTTTACCTGCTTATCCTGACTACCAGCGGAGATACCGTGGATTAATCCTGTAACGGATCACCTGGCACCCCGACTGGGTACCTCCATTGAAGGATGCTACTAGCGCTTCCTGAGGACTCCAAGCACTGCAGCAGACACCACAACCACCGAACCGGAGAAGCATATGAATGCTCTCAAGCATTTGAATGTTGTATACAGCCGAATAGGAAAAACCATGCGGATGGGTTTACACTCCTAGCATTCAAACTGAAACAGCATAAAATAAATCCTCCCCCCAGACGACACTTCACTTTGAGGGTTAAGCAGGAACTGACTGGACTGGCACATACAGCCTCTTTTATTTCCAATCCACAAATTTAGTACTGCCCACAGGGTTTTACAGAACAACCAATAACACACGTACATTACAGAAAGACACTCCCACACAAAATCCTCCCCTCTGCCTGTGATACAATTACCTTACACAATGGGTAATCTAATTATCACAGACAGAGAAATACAGATTCATAAAACACATCACAGGGACCCCAAAACATGCAATAACCCCATTGGAACCGGGGGATCTGGGTGAACCACATATCCAAAATTCACCCAGATCCGTTCAGTAGTTTAGAAGATACAGTTTAATGCAGATTCTGTAGAACATATACAGGCTAAATGAAAAACAATCACTGTATAATGGGTCCCCTGCTGTATAGTCCAAAACCACTGCATGATGTCTCTGTGCACCAAATACTGGCGATATGGCACCGTGTTGAAAAGTCCAAACAGTGTCTGTGAGTTAAAATGGCCGCCATCCATTGTTCTCACCATGTGTTTCATCCATTGTTCTCACCATGTGCCTCTGATACAGGAAATGGTGGCCACCCAGTAACTCCACAGTATGTCCCCAGATGGTTCTTAAAGGGCCAGCAGCAGCAAAACACAAATCCCTTATGACCAAATCATGTCTTTAAAGGGCAATACATCCCAGGGGCATAGTCACATGGCAGGAGGCTGGCAATCAGTCTTCTCCAATGCCCAGTGGCGAGGTCGGTTTCGCCACAAACCCCTAATACTCCGCTACAATTGGTGGCAAGCGACTGTATTCAAACCACACAGCAAAGCAGCGTTCGGCAGTATTTATGCGAACGGAGAAAAAGGAAACAGCAATTCGTGAAACAACCATTCAAATGAAACCGGAGTTTGGGAGTAAGAGGAATTATATGAACAGTCGGTGAATGGAAACAAATTATACACTGTTGAAACGGAATACGCTAAAGGAACTACTGGAGGCAAGGGGAATCATAGACAAGAACAAGGCTACACTTACCGCGGAACTCATGGAGGGAGACAGAGCAGCTGCTGCAGCACCTCAAATGGAAGCAGATCAGACGGAGTTTGGAATCGAACTCAGGAGCAGATTGGCATTTTTACCTGAACCCCCATCCCAAAACACAGTAGAAAGAATCATGGCAGATGTACAGGCCCGACAACAAGCCACCCGGCAACCACGAGAAAGATCACCAGCTCCATCTAACCTTTCCCAGGGAAAAACTAAATTCCCATGCCAGGCCTTCAAAAATTATACGGAAGCGGATGGAGAGGTAGAGGTAGAAGATTACCTACAGGACTTTGAAAAGCTGTGCCAGCTGCATGGCATCAGTCCAGCAGACCAGGTACCCCTGCTAGCAGGTAGGCTATCGGGCCGCGCAGCAGAGGCGTACCGCGCAGTCCCAGACGAGGACAGCAGAGACTACCAGAAGGTCAAACAGGCCATCTTAGCCCCCATTCGCCTTTTTACCGAATGGTAGGGCCATCACATCCGAAGCCTACCGAATTAAATTCTGAGGCATTAAGAAACAGGCAAAGGATTTGCACGTCGAATGGGCACACTGGTTACAACGCGCCGCTAAAGGATGGATTGAAGCGACGCAGGTCACAACACTAAAAGACCTGTTCCAATTAGTTGCACTAGAACAGTTCTTTGACGGGCTAACCACAGAGCTGCAAAATTGGATCCGAGACCGAAAACCTCGTACCTTACCTGAAGCTGCCAGCTGGCAGACAAGTTTAAAGATACCAGGCGAGAGCAATGACCGCAACCACGGACCACCCCTGGATATATATCCGCTCCACCAGCAATACCCCCTACAGTACATTCTCGTCCAGGGGTAAGCAACCACTCATACCCTCCCCGGTATAATAACCGACCACCCATCCGATGTCATACCTGCAACCAGCAAGGGCACATGCAAAGAAACTGCCCAAGGAACCGGCCTCGACCCAACTGGCATAACCCGGGACCACCACCTCCTAGCAGAGATGCAGTACATTGTTACCAAAAAGAGCCTGTGGTTTCTCACACCCCAAACACCACCGTGGAAGAAGCTCTGGGAACACTACACGAGGTGAACCCCATCCAGGCTGCCTCCGACAATCGACAGGGGCATCGCCAAGTCATACACATGGAGGGGAAAAGTATGCAGGGACTACGTGACTCGGGGGCCACCTTAACGCTGGTCCGGACTCACCTGGTACCCAAGAACAACCTCACAGGAGATTGTGTAGCTGTGCGGGTGGCAGGGGGGTCCATTTACAAGGTACCTACAGCAAAGGTACATTTGAATTGGGGAGTGTGGCATGGTGACGTGGAGGTGGGAATGATGCAGGACTTGCCCGCCGATGTTATTTTGGGCAACGACTTGGGGGAGCTCAAGTCCACCTTTATCCCACAATCCACCCCAGTAGTTACTCGGCAGCAGGCTCGCACCACTGGACTATCGGATCACTCTGAGGCTCAGGTAAGCAATGTGCCTGTTATCCCCTTAGAATTTGGCAGCGAGGTAGCTTTAGACCCTTCCCTGCAAGTGTACAAAGATAGGCTAGCCAAGGACCAAGGAGGGATGGAGGGGGAGAGGTACGCTTGGGACAAGGGATTATTATATCGGCATGCAGAGAAGGTAGTAGCCGGGTCTATTCCCATACCCATCAAACAATTAATTGTGCCTCGGAAGTATAGACGAGAGTTACTGCGCATAGCGCATGATATTCCCTTATCCGGTCATTTAGGGATCAGTCGAACTTGGCATTGGCTCACGCAGAACTTTTTTTGGCCAGGTATTTCCAGGGATATTTTTTTGGCCAGGTTTTAACCTGTGATACCTGTCAGAGGGTAGGTAAGCGAGGGGACCGCTATAAAGCTAAACTCCATTCCCTACCCATAATAGAAGAGCCTTTTAGTAGGGTGGCGGTAGACATAATCGGACCATTAGCAAAGCCCAGTCCCTCCGGCAAGAAGTAAATTTTGACCGTAGTGGACTACGCCACTAGATATCCCGAAGCAGTGGCCCTGACTAATGTACATGCCGAGACCGTAGCAGATGCCCTTATGCAAATTTTCTCTCGCATGGGATTCCCGAGAGATCATTTCGGATAGGGGCACCCAATTCACCGCAGAGGTCACCCACCAGCTTTGGAAAATCTGTGGGGTAAAATCTATACTTAACTCACCCTACCACCCTCAGTCCAACGCTCTCTGTGAACGGTTTAACGGAACACTGAAACAAATGATCCGTACATTCATAGACATGCAGAAGGACTGGGAACAGTTTTTACCTCACTTACTCTTCGCGTATAGAGAAGTACCTCAAGAATCCATGGGGTTCTCTCCTTTTGAATTATTATTCGGAAGGAGGGTGAGGGGACCACTTGATCTAATCCAGGAACACTGGGAGGGAGAAGTAACAACTTCTACTGTACCATATGTGCTGGAGTTCTGGGAACGCTTGGAGGCTTTGATCCAGACCGTACGCACCAACCCCCAGGCGACCCAACAACGACAGCGCAGATGGAGGAGCCAGGGACCGCAGCTTTCAGATCAGGCAGACGGTGTTAATCCTACGACCGGTCAAGAATGACAAGCTGCAGGCCTCCTGGCAAGGCCCATACAAGGTGGTAGAGCAAATCTGCGATACCACCTATGTGATCGGCCCGTACGCTGGGGCAGGGGGCAGACGCAAGGTCCACATGAACATGTTGAAGCCCTACCACGAGTGCATAGAAGAAGTGTCCGCTATCTGCGCCTCGGCTGCAGAGGATTTCGATAATTTACCGCTACCAGACCTACTAGAGAAAGAGAAGAAGAACGAAGATCTGGAAGCTGTACAGCTAGGGCAACATTTGAACCCTGAAGAACGGACTCAGGCTCAAAGTTTAATTAGGGAAAAAAGGGGCCACCTTTTCTAATCTCCTGGGGTACACCCCGTTAGCTACCCACCGAGTGGAGACCCCAGTACAGACACCCCTCCGCCAACCTCCTTACCACATACCCGAATCGGTAAAAGAGAATATGCGTAAGGAGATTGAATAAATGTTACAGTTGAGGGTAATCGAACATTCAGATAGCCCCTGGGCATCCCCAGTAGTTCTGGTACAAAAGAAGGATGGAACTACCCGCTTCTGTGTGGATTACCAGAGGCTTAATGATAAGACTGTCTCGGACGCACACCCCATGCCGCGAATCGACGAACTCCTAGACAAAATGGCAAGGGGCCAGTACCTCACCACTATAGACCTCTGAATTGGTAATGTTTAGACACCCCTGGCACAAAGGAGTGAAAGCTTCCCCTTTTCTCAATAATGCAGGCTCAATTCGTGTATACCTCAACTGTACGAACTGAAGCCAGGGGAATGCGCCAATCTCCCGAATGGGACCCATACGGGTTCTCCAAACTCCCGAACAATAAATCCACGAATCGCGGCTAACAGCCGAACAAATATATCCTCCAAGCGGCTTACATTTCCAGCAATTAGTCATTAACCGTGTGTAGTAAATCCCCCCAATAACGAGACCAAGCTCCGCATTGAGGGTAAAACATGAACTGGCTTTACAGTGGGCTACCCGCCCGTATTTATGCAGGTCTCCCACTTGGTGGACACTCCCCTAGGGGACCAAATGGGAGACTGTAATTGCAGACAGACATATGGCACTTTAAGACATACAGGCACAAAATATTCCCATAATGCATCCTGGTTTCCTCCCCTCTGCCCTGGAGATAATTGAGAAGTAATTCAATTATCTCCCAGGACAGAGGCAAATCGCTATTTTACATGAAGCATAAAAAATACATGAAAATAAATAATTATACAACTACCGAACATATTACATTCGTGCAACGTATCCCCAGCCTGGATCTGAGTGTATATTCTTAGCGAATTGCGCTCAGATCCCATATGTACAGTTCAATCGCCATGGAGTCAAAGTCTTTTACAGTCTTTCGGTATGCGATTGACTCCATGGGATGGCTATCTGGGTTAAGTCCATTCGTATAATCCAAACTCCCGAACGGGCCGGTGTTCGCATGCCTTGACGAATGAGAAGGGCGGTCTGTAGTCTCAGCGGTGTTCGGCAGAAAAAGTGTCTGTAACGGACCGTTTTGCACAAAAGGGGTAAAAACCGTTTAGGCGATCGGCCCCCTTTCCAGAGATGCAGGCACAGCTACTGCAGAACACCAAACACACAAACCGCCAATAAGTGAATGCTCCAAACACCCGAACTGCATACAAGGGAATGCTCCAAACACCCGAACTGCATACAAGGGAATGCTCCAAACACCCGAACTGGAACCTCACGAATAGCTGCTAGCAGACGAACAGGAAAAGCACCCAAGCGGCTTACACTCCTGGCAATCAGTCTCTATCAGCATACAGTAAACCCCCCCAAAGACGAGACAGAGCTCCGTGTTGAAGCTTCCCATCTGTTTAATGAGGGCTACCTGCCCAGTATTTATGCAGGTCTCCCACCTGGTGGACACTCCCCTAGGGGACCAAATGGGAGACTGTGACAAGGGACAGACAAGCAGACAAATAGGACACACAGTCACATATATTCCCACAATGCATCCTGGCTTCCTCCCCTCTGCCCTGGGAGATAATTGAGAAGTAATTCAATTATCTCCCAAGACAAAGGCAAATCGCCATTATGCACGTGGGGATACTAAAACAAGCATTACTGTTAAAATACACCATGTAAGACACATTACATTAAAACTATACATTTAACATATCCCCAGATAGCTCAGGTCTGAGCGCACATTATTAAGCGAATGGCGCTCAGACCACACGAATACAGTTTAATCGCCATGGAGCCAAAAGTCTTTAATTCCACGAACAGGCTATCTGGGTACTTGCACACCGAATACAATCGCAGCACTAAAAGTCCCGAAAGCTCCGTTGTTCGGTTCCCAACGGGTTTGCAGACTTCCAGCCTCAGCAGGGCTTGTAAGACAAAATTGTCTGCTTTTGGTGTCCTGCTGCTGGGTAGAACAAGCGCTAGCTACCCGGGGAGCCTCAATAACACCGCCATCGTGTGGCGGCTAGGTGTAACCGCGACCACCCAGTAATTGTCAATTAAGCTGCTGTTAACCGCAGCTTCAGGGAGGTTAATTGCCGGCACACTCCAGCTCCCAGGTGGTTTATTCATTCGTGCGGTTGTTCGGTAGATTGAATCTACTGAACAACCGGCAGAAAAGCACGAATACAGCTTTTCTGCTGGCGAAACAAAGTCTTTTAACGTGAGGCCATAGTCCAAAGGCAGCAGGCGAGCAACCAGGCTTCTCCAATGCAATGTGGCGAGATTGGTCTCGTCACAGTGTCCGTTTTTAGTTCCACAGAATCTGCACCGAACAACGCTGGTCTTTCGCATGGTTTAAAATGGCCGCCGCCTCGTGGTCGGCATACGAACGACGACCACCCTGCATTCGGTTATAATTAAGAGGTGTCTGCGGTTAACCACAACGTTCTAATTGGGATCAAGAGGTTAACTAGCAGCACACTTCTCTTCTGGGTGGCCGTCCGTTCGGTAAGTTCATTCGGTAAAAAGGCGAATGGGGGCATACGGACAGGTAATTCCACGAAAGGAAGGCAAACTAGACGAACCAGCAATATTAGTCTTACAGATGAATCTGTCACAGGCAAATTCCCCTAGCCGAAGACGCCATTCCAAAGTCGGCGTTTGTCACCCCGTTTGGCCTATACCAGTTTAAGGTCATGCCATTCGGAATGAAAAACGCTCCAGCTACCTTCCAGGGGATGGTAGATAGGTTATTAGATGGGTTTTAGGAGTACGCTTGCGCCTATTTAGATGATATAGTGATATTCAGCTACACCTGGCCCGAACACTTGACCCATGTAGGGGCAGTATTAGACCGCATTAGGGAGGCAGGGTTGACTCAAACCCAGTAGTTTGCCAAATGTGAGAAACAGAACAAAAACAAAACAAAAAATCCAGAAAAACGCATGTCCAAAAAGTTATAACTTGATTTGTATGTCGAGTGAAAAATATTTGATCCCCTGTCAGCAAGATTTCTGGATCTCAGGTGTCTTTTATACAGGTAACGAGCTGAGATTAGGAGCACTCCCTTAAAGGTACAGTAGTTCTCCTAATCTCAGCTTGTTACCTGTATAAAAGACACCTGTCCACAGAAGCAATCAGATTCCAAACTCTTCACCATGGAAAAGACCAAAGAGCTGTCCAAGGATGTCTGCAACAAGATTGTGGCGCTACACAAGGCTGGAATGGGCTACAAGACCATCGTCAAGCAGCTTGGTGAGAAGTAAGAAGGTGACAACAGTTGGTGTGATTATTCACAAATGGAAGAAACACAATAACTGTCAGTCTCCCTTTGTCTGGTGCAAGATCTCACCTCGTGGAGTTTCAATGATCAGGAGAACGGGGAGGAATCAGCTCAGAACTACACGGGAGGATCTTGTTAATGATGTCAAGGCCGCTGCGACGATAGTCACCAAGAAAACAATTGGTAACACTATGCCGTGAAGGACTGAAATCCTGCAGCGCACATAAGGTCCCTCTGCTCAAAAAAAAAAAAAACATGTACAGGCCCGTCTGAAGTTTACCAATGAACATCTGAATGATTCAGAGGAGAACTGGTTGAAAGTGTTGTGGTCAGATAAGACCAAAATCAAGCTCTTTGGCATTAACTCAACTCGCCATGTTTCGAGGAGGAGGAAAGCTGCCTATGACCCCCAACACCACCATCAAACATGGAGGTGGAAACATTATGCTTTGGGGTGTTTTTCTGCTAAGGGGACAGGACAACTGCACCACATCAAAGGGATGATGGACGGGGCCATGTACCGTCAAATCTTGGGTGAGAACTTCCTTCCCCTCAGCCAGGGCATTGAAAATGGGTCATGACAATGACAATGACCCAAACACACAGCCAAGGCAACAAAGGTGTGGCTCAAGAAGAAGCACATTAAGGTCATGGAGTGGTCTAGCCAGTCTGCAGACCACAATCCCATAGAAAAGCTGTGGAGGGAGCTGAAGGTTCGAGTTGCAAAACATCATCCTCGAAACCATAGTGACTTGGAGATGATCTGCAAAGAGGAGTGGGACAAAATCCTTCCTGAGATGTGTGCAAACCTGGAGGCCAACTAAAGAAACGTCTGACCTCTATGATTGCCAACAAGGGTTGTGCCACCAAGTTGAAGGGGTCAAATACTTATTTTACTCATTGACATGCACATCAATTTATAGCTTTTTTTTACATCCACTTTTCTGGATTTTATTTCATTATTCTGTCTCTCACAGTTAAAATACACCTACTATTAAAATTATAGACTGCTCATTTCTTTGACAATGGGCAACGTTAAAAGTCAGCAGGGGTTCAAATACTTGTTTCCCTCACTGTATTAAAAAGCCTGCAGGGGCAGGATATAGATACCAGAACAACTGTATTAAGCTATAGTTGTTCTGGTTACTATAGTGTTCCTTTAAGATAGAGGTGGGTCGTGGTCGATAGAGGAACTGAGCTCCGCAAAAGGCCTGGCAAAGAAGCGAATAGAGTATCACTCATATAAACTTTTAGAGTCAGAAACGCCAGCACCCCACAAGATGACATAATTAGGTGTAAAAATAAAAAGCAATGTCGCCCAGAAGCTTCCCATCTGCAGGATACATGGCTCTTTTGAGATACCAACGCTGCAGCAGCGACCAAAGATGGTGCCGGAGGCCTATCGGGAAGACGAGGAGCCTCTTGTCTCTGCTCGATCCGAAGGTGCATTGGAGTCGGATGATGACTTCTCACCATCGATAAAAGGGGATACAAAGAGACTACTCATTGACATATGGAAGGTCTGTAAAGAATATCTCCAGGAGGTCCGGACTGAGATAGTGGTCCACCAAAAGGTGAGAGCGATAAAAGAGAGATAAATTTCCAGAGACAATAGTCTCCAGCCAGGCAATGACGACAATGGAGATGCAGCATGGGCGTCACAATCTACGCCTTAGAGGAATCCCGGAGACAGTTGGAAATAAGGAACTCTTGCAGTTCATCCACGGCCTCTTAGGTACTATAGGCATTAAAGGTTGCTCCAACTCCCCTCAGATCACTTCAACATTATGAGTGTGCAAATCAGCGGCAGCACCCAGTAACACTATCATTGTAATGCAAGACGCGGCAGTGCGAGACGCAATCATGACCTGCTTGAGACTACTGGGGACAGTACATTATTAAGGCCACACAGTGGCTGGCTATGGTGATATCCCGTTCTTGGTTCTGGCAGAAAGGAGGTAATTGATACCTGTTGTCAGAAGACTAAGACTGCTCAATAAAATACTTGTGGGGAATGGAGGGATCCCTACTTGCCGGAAAAGGGGATGAGAGCCTAAAGCAGACAGTCAGGAGACCATGGCACATTCTGGAGATCTCTAGGCCTCTCAACCTAGCTACAAGCATTAGCCTCAACATCGTCGAAAAGGATCGAGGGGCACGAGGAACACAACAAACAAAGGAGGACTAAGATATCAGGAAATGTTGCCAAGTGGCAATATGCCCTGATCTACATCACTCCAGTTTTCAAAGCTGCACTTAGTGAACCAAGCTGCCTTTCCTAAGGCAGAACTCAAAGTAACTGCAAATTTATTTATTTATTTTATTTATAAAATATTTTACCAGGAAAGATACATCGTTTTCCAGTATGTCCTGGGTCCACAAATCATTGCATTGTTACATTAGGGTACAATAAAATACAAAAACAATATTAATACACAATAAATACAAAATTTAACACAGAACAGGTAGGGAATATATAATCAACCATGACAGGTGCATTCTGTTTTGAGGTATGTAGAGAGGGATCTCTTAAAGGACTTTAGGCTTAGGGAAGATTTTAAATGGTGCGGGAGGTCGTTCCACAATTGCGGTGCTCTGTAGGAGAAGGAGGATTGGGCTGCTTTCTTTTTGTATTGAGGAAGACTAAGTAAAGTGTTGATACTGGATCGGAGCTTATAGGAAGTGGGAACAGCTGGGGAAAGCATTTTGTTCAGGTAGGGTGGGAGTTTCCCAGAAAAGCTCTTAAACACAAGGCTGGAAAGATGAAGGGTGCGTCTGGATTCCAGCGACAGCCAGTTTAGTTGTAGCGGAGCGGCAATATTAAATCCCACGATCTCCGCTGGTTCAGAAGGTAATCCATAGTCAAGCGCTGAAAAGCAAGGCAATATCCCAAATCTCCCAGTAACCGGACGAAACACAGTTCTGAGAGTCAACTGAAGGCTTTATTCACAGGCTCCACAATTTATACAATTCCCCAGGGGTTTCCTGAGTCCTATCCCAGGGGTATTCCAGGGGTGGATTACGTGGGGAACTTAATGTACAGAGCATTTCTCCCATCAGGCACTGCTGCACAAGAGGGATCCTCCCACTGGAACGTGCCGTTAAGTGGATTATCCCTCCGTGCAGCAGAATCGTCAATTTACTTTAAAATATACAGTTTTTCGAATGTTAGGTCTATTTGCACAAATGGACGTTCGGTAGATAGCTGGGGTCTGAGCGCATCATTCGTGAGATTCCCGCTCAGATCCCAGCTAAAACAACCGAACGCCGCACGAAAAACATATTCATTAAAACACACACTTAAAAGACCAATTGCTATATGGGAAATAAAATACCGAACGGCCTGGAAGCTCAGCGGTGTTCGCGCCGTCGACTAGCCGTTTTTAGTACCACACACCACTGGAGGAACAAAGGATCCAAGATGGCCGACCGCCGCATGGTCGGTAGCCAAACGACGGCCACCTAGGAGAGCCTCTAATTACAATGTTGCAATCGGTTAACGAGCGCCACACGTCTCTCAATGTGTGGGCTGTTACAGGGTGGTTATTTCGGTTCACGAACGGCCCGCAAAAGTGCCGTTCGTGAAACTAAAGGGAATCAGCTATCTGCTTTCGGCAGATAGCCAATGCAGGCAATACAAAGCTACACAATCGTATTACAGTATACCCAGAAACACACATAACACGAAAATCATACAGGCAACCCTTAAAGCGATAGTACTTAATGTCCAAGTGGCTAGGTTTGCCACATTAGTTCTTTTAGCATGTCACAACGGTGGGTCCTGTAATTACATTGTAGCACAAATCGACAGAACGAGTTATACAATGTGTTGAGTTTATTAAGGTGGGATTGCGATGCAGATGCATATACTACATCCCCATAATCAATGATTGGCATCAGCATTTGCTGTACAATCTTTTCCTTTACTGTAGGGCTTACGCAGGATTTGTTTCTGTACAGGGCACCTAGTTTTGGATAAAGGTTAGATGCAAGTTTTTCTATGTGGAGGCCAAAAGATAGATTGGGGTCTAACGTGATACCCAAGTATTTGAAAGAGTGGACTGCGGTCAGTGTGCTATTTGAATTAGTTTTGATGGATAGGTGGGAATTGTGTAATTTGTGTAATTTAGGTACTGTTCCAAAGATCATTGTGACATTATTTGACAGTATAAATGTTTAATTATTTAAAAACCCGTGATTGATTAAACTTTTATAGGTTATTTAGTTCTCATGCTTTACACCATTATTTATTGATACCAAGCTCATGTATGCTTTTATCTCCATACATATTGGGAAAACCTGTAATTTGCACATGCAAATAAAATACGAATGTAAAAAAAATAAAATCTTCAAAACGTTAAATCATCATCAAGTATAACAGGAGATTGTGGGGTGGGAGTAGAAGATGCTATCTAGAAGATCAGGGAGAGAAAGTAAAATGAAAGAAAAGAAAAGTGATATTAGTTTTCTATTAGCCCGTACTCCAGGCTCACAGAGGTCAGCAGCAAAAAGTCCCTCGGCCTATAAATATCTCTTATGTTCCTACCATCATATTACAGTAACAAGCCACTAGAAAGATATTGGATAGGCTGTGATGAGAACAATGACTTTCATAGATACACTAGGGGCTCAAGTCAGCCCAAACAATCATGCCTTGAACTGGAAATCTTGAAGAATTTCCATTAACTGCTGCCAGCTGCAGTAAAAACCTGTGTAGTGGGCAATTGGTCAGTTTACATATTTCCTGGAGGTTTAAGAGTCTCCTGGATAAAATATCCCAACGGTAGCAGGAATGGACTCAATACTGAAATGCTCTTTTTTTGGGCGGACACATTTTAGGACTAGAACAGGTCTGAAAGTAATAACGGATTTTAGAACAAACAAAGGCAGAATATGTTCCATGATATTTCTCCATAAGGAACTTACACTAACACTTTTCCAGAAGAGCTTAAACAGGTTGTAAAAGTGAAGGCTGATGATGAAAACTGACCGAAATTGAACAGAAAAATATCTTCTGTGGTATTCTCCCATTATTTGAAGAAATAGGACTGTCTTCTTCTGCCCAATAGTCAAACCTGATCCCGGCATGGTAATTCCAGGGATTTATTGAAGACACTGAATTTTCCTCTTTGCATTTCTTCCTCAAAAGTGAGATTGCCTAAAACAGTCACCTGAGACCTAAAGTTTTATCTACACTTCCGTTGGAAAAAAAGAAGCAACTCAATATTTGTTACCTAAGACATTTTTCTTTTTTAACGATGGCATCTAAATGGAATCCAAAGAGGGCACGCTTATTTTTAAAGAAAATGGTGGAACCGCTAAACTTAGAGGTGGAGTGTGCTACCCCTGGTTTCAGCCATGACACTCTATAGGTTACCTGAAAGGGAAGCCAGAGTTACCTTGGTCCACCGAGCGAGGGGACCGTTATTGTCCCAGCTCCAGTCGGCATCTACATCAACACTAATGCGGCCGCAGCGCAATGTATTTTAAAATACCCGCTCTGGCGATGTCTTATTGTATGTCTGGTATTCCTAACTATTCTACCTGTGTATTTTACGTGACGTCTGGCCAGTCTAAGGCCCGGTAACACGCTTTATCTCTGAGGTTATATTCTACGTACTGGAGTATTATACTTATCCTTGACATTACTGATGTGAATCCCACAGACCTGGCTGCCAGCTTCAATGATTCCTATGAGGCTTCACATAGACAACCAAAACCCACTCGGGCTCTGGATACAGTTATTGTAGTGTAAAATCTTTACTTGGGCACTTGATGAAAGAAAAGCTCTTCTGGTGAACCTTTTCATTCTTCAGATCAGAAGCATCTTCCATATGAGTTTGGACAATACTACATGCCCTTTGGGATCTTTGTCCAGAAAAATATTTTCCTCTATAGTTAAAAAATTGTAGAAAGTGTGGGGCCTGAGCATCATGCATTTCATGAAGGCTCTCCATACTACTTCTGATTTAATTGCCTAATCTGACTCAGACAACGCTTCTTGGGGGCAAATGTCTTATTTAGTAGTGGAACTGATCGGAGCGCATCTTGGAACTCTGTGCTGTGTCAAAAACCATAGTCTCCCCCATTTTGTGGCAGCATGCATTCACGGCAGACTTACGTTACCCCATCTGGTCCCCACTGACTTGCTGCACATACCAGCCTTACATACTGCAGATGCTTGCGGTTATGGCAAAGAACAAAGCAGACTATCAAGATGGTGGGTGCATCTCTTTCGGAGGCCTACTATTACAAAAGCGGAAACAGACTGTCATGGCCTAGTGGAACAGTCAGTGAGGAAACTGGAAGGAATTTCGCTCTACTTTTGGAACAGTCTAGAGAAACATAAAGCACACAACTTGTCTCAGGAGAAGAGCTGTAGGGGTGACAACAGGGAGGTGAGCAAAGCACTTTTGGGCACAGACTTTGTTCAAGCGCCCGTCTCTTATTTGCCTATCCAGGCCATAGGCCATCAGGAGAAAATACCTGAAGCATCTGCCAGCGGACAGAAGATTGTCTGCCATCAGAAAACCAAGGTCTTCAGTTACCCCCAATAAAGGAAGGACTTGGACTCTATGGGTCTCTGAGTCCGTGGCTCGAAGATGCCAACCTCCATAAAGGCCTGGGGCTGGAGGGCTGTCTTGCATCACTCTAGCTGTCCTCAGTGACTCATGTTTCCTCCATTCGCTTTCCTAATCAAGGCATTGGATGAACGTGGTCTGGTACAATTGGGCATCTCTACTGTTCCTATTCTAACAATAACACCATTCTTGACCCTTTCAAGCAACCAACGCTCTTACATAATAGTTATTACTGTTACTCTTCTCTTTCTTTTATTTTTCTCATTTGCATTTATGATTTGTGCTGTGCAGGTTGATGTTGAGCCCCAGTGGAAGCATTTTGTCGTCTGTTACCCTATCTTGTCAAGTAGACGGTCCATAATCTTCATGTTAAGACAGACAAGTGTATACAAGCTCACTATCAGCCTTTATATAGACATAGGAGCCTAACCAGTCAGGGTTATACTCTGGGAATGAGGCACCACTGGTAAACAACACATCTTGATATATATGTTATTAACCCCTTAAGGACGGAGCCAAATGTACACGTTGTGAACAAAACAAAATGTAAACAAAACCTGGCATTTGCGCTACATGTCTGTCCAACCGTAATACACCTCTTTCATAGTAAATGCACCCACCCTTATTATATATCATTTTATTCAGGGGAAACAGGGCTTTCATTTAATATCAAATATTTAGCTATGAAACATAATTTAATATGAAAAAAATGGGAGAAAATACGATTTTATTGGATTTTTTTAGTTCTACATGACAATTAAACGGTCAGTGTCATAATACTGTTTGCTTTTACTGCAATAAAATACACATATTTGTATTCAGCAAAGTCTCACGTGTAAAACAGTACCCCCTATGTACAGGTTTTATGGCGTTTTGGGAAGTTACAGGGTCAAATATAGCACGTTACATTTGAAATTGAAATTCGACAGATTGGTTACGTTGCCTTTGAGACTCTATAGTAGCCCAGGAATTAAATTTACACCCATAATGGCATACCATTTACAATAGTAGACAACCCAAGGTATTGCAAATGGGGTATGTCCAGTCTCTTTTAGTAGCCATTTGGTCACAAACACTGGCCAAAGTTAGTGTTAGTATTTGTTTGTGTGTGAAAAATGCAAAAAACGCCAATTTTGGCCAGTGTTTGTGGCTAAGTGGCTACTAAAAAAGACTGGACATACCCTGTTTGCAATACCTTGGGTTGTCTACTATTGCAAATGGTATGCCATCATAGGAGTAATTTTCATTCTTGGGCTACCATAGGGTCTCAAAGGCAACGTAACCAATCTGGCGAATTTTAATGTGAAAAAAATGAAACGCAAGCCTTATATTTGACGCTGTAACTTTTGAAAACACCATAAAACCTGTACATGAGGGTTACTGCTGTACTCGGGAGACTTCACTGAACACAAATATTTGTGTTTCAAAACAGTAAAAAGTATCATAGCAATAATATTGTCCGTTTAATGCTGTTTGTGTGTGAAAAATGCAAAAAACGTCACTTTTACTGGCGATATCATCGTTGTAATACATTTTACTGTTTTGAAACACTAATATTTGTGTTCAGCGAAGTCTCCTGAGTAGAACAGTACCCCCCATGTACAGGTTTTATGGTGTCTTGGAAAGTTATAGGGTTAAATATGGTGCTAGCAAATTAAATTCCCTTTACTTTCGGCATGGGTTGTCAGGCAGGTCCCGCTAATTGTAATTAATTAAGATACCTAATTATGTAAAAATATTACATAAATATATATGTAGAATCAATATATGTATATATATACGTATGTGTATATATATGTATATATCTATATAATTTTTTAAAAATATTTTTATTTATATAATAGGTAATATGTATAACAATCATTATATCATTATATATTTATGTATGTAGATATATATATATTATTTCATTCTACGTGTATTTTGATATAAATATATATATATTAATATCACAATACAGTTAGAATGAAATAACACACATCTATATATTTTTTTATTAATTTTTTTAATTATTTTTTTAATTTTATTTTTTAACGTATTTAAATATTTAATTTTTTTATAGTATATATAAATATATATATAACAATAATTATATATATATATATATAACCAGTATCAGTCTACGTGTAATTTGATATTAATATATATATATATAATTATATATATATATTAATAGTAAAATACACTTAGACAGTGTATGTGTGTGTATGTATATGTGT